TTATGGATCCCTATCAGAAGCAAACCTGTCAGAATCCTGTCAGAATCCAGACAATTTTCACTATTCACTGGCTCAGAAAGATCCATCTGGCTTGGCCATCCCACAAGATAATGATGCAAATAACAGCTGGAGACGATGGAATCAACAGGGGACTTGTTAGGCCACAAATGGGACCCATGGGGCCTGGTCAGGACGTTACAGGACTAAGAGAGATCTGCTCCCAAAGCAAATGGATCAGCAGGGGGCGGACCTAAGTCTTATGGTGCTAGGACAGCGCTTGTCTGGGCCCAATGGGATCGACAGGATCTTGGTCCAACTTGGTCCAAGCTTGGAGGGGCAAATCAGGGACAGGGAACATCATTGCAGGACCAACAGGTCCCTGGTTCAAACTGTGACCGGGCCAACAAAGACTTGTGTGTAGCATCAATAAGACCAATGGAGGTCTGGTCCAACCCTCATGAGACCACCCGTGGCCTTGTCTGAGCCCGATTGGACCCAATATTAGTCTGCCAGGCACTAGTAGCTTTATTGGTGAGTTTTTTATTTTAGTAGCCGTTTTTCAAGCTGCGCCCAACGTGGCAACATTAGCAGCCATTGGAATGATTTTAGGAGCAGCTTATTCCATTTGGAAGCAGACAGGACCTGGCTGGAACCTAATTGGGCCAGCGGGGACCTTGGCCTACCATACATAAACGGGACTAATGGGGAGCTTGAACTGGGTAAATGGGATTAATAGGGCCTGTTCTAAGTGTAAAGGCCTGACCAATGGGATGCAGTTCAAGCTTAAGAAGGGCAGTCGAGGTCTGATCCGAAGCTAATGTGATGAGTAGGCCCTGCTCCAAGCCTTACAGGACCAAATGGGTCCTGGTTCTTGCACCAAATTTGGCCCAAATGGGACTTCATCGCCACAAGGAGTCTCATGTGTTCCCATTAGGGCCCAGAAGACATGGTCCCAAGAAAACCTAATGGGACCAAGGATGCTTAAATACATTACTGTTAGCTACCCTTGCGATTCGTTTGGCTAGGCGTGAAGCAGCCCCTGTATGCGAATATCGTGCCCCACGAGACTTCATGCCCTATTGGACAGATCGAACTACATCACTAATATGAGTGTCCAATATACTACACACTTGCAGTGTACTCCTAACCCAAAACAAAAAAAAAAGAAACAAGTATGGACGCCGCAGGTTTTGAGTTCGGCGAGGAAAACAGCCGCGGATTTCAGAAATGCAATTTTGGTAGAAAAGGATCCATTGGGCCTTTCCTTGTTTCCCTTTCCCCGTCTGACACCACACCAACCCCTGTAGTTATGACACCCGGGCGAAGGAAACAGCCACCGAGTTTCGAAATGCAATTTCCATCGAAAAGGATCCGTTGGGCCTTTTTTTTTTCCTCTTTTCCCCGTCTGCCACCACTACCAACCCCTGTAGTTATGACACCCAGCCTGACACCACGGCCACAGAACTTTCCTTGCATTTTCAAACTCGGCGGCTGTTTTCTCTGCGGGCGCATGTTTTTCTTTGTGCATTAGAAACTCAAAGGTCACATCAACGTAGTTGCCCCCCCCCCCCCCCCCCCCCCCCCTTCCCCCAAAAAAGAGCCACCATCTACACAGTGGCACCACGTCCTTTGAGTTGCCGAGCAATTTCACTGTAGTAGAACTCAACACGACACTATTTAATTATGGCTGCAGATGCATCAGATCAACGGCTACGATTATGGCCCAGCATGCCTCACCTATAATGTGATAAAACTTCCTTCAGCTGTGATGTCCCACCTACCATGATTCTTCATTTTTGACGGCTCATTGCAAAGATCAATGGTCAGAGCCCGAGGATCCGGGCGAGTACCTTGCTCAGAGTCGTGGTCGTTGTTTACTGCACTGCATGCAGATCCCTACAGAGTACAATACAAACAGCACATGGTGCACACACCGTACGTCTCACAGCATGAAGTGCACCGCCACTGGGACCATCCCTTGCTGCACAGTCCAGTTCGATTCCTTGGAGAGCAGAGAATTTTAGGCTCAACATAATAGGGTCGGTCGTTCCAGTGGTTTAAACCATCAGTACTTGTGACCCTTCCCTTGTCCAGCCTGGAAACGCCCTGTGCGCCAAAGAAAAACGAACTGGCGCAGGCCTTCGTTTGGCTGGTGCCGCCAGCTGTTTTCCCTCTGTAGGCCGACCCATGAAACTTGCAGTGCGCATGCAGCTGCGTCAGAGAGAAATGGCTGGCAAACGCACTGGTAGTTTAAACCACCACTACCTTTGGCTGGCAAACTTTTTTCCGATAAAGTTGTCCATCACCGCACGAGGATCCGGCTCCCTGGCCTCTTTGGCTAGTGGCCCCAGCCAAAAAGGAACAAATAGAGTGCCACACTGTTTTTTGCTTTGAGCTTGGTGTGCAGCACAAATCCACCATGGTGTAAAGTGTCCTGGAAACTTGGAAAGTTTTTTGAAGAAAGAGAGAGAAGGGAAAATTTCTGTTTTGCATGAAAGAAGGTACTATTTGTTGATTTGCCCCTCCAAGATGCAAAATACCTTGCCGCGCCCTGCCAATCTGCAATCTTTGGGGCAGTCCCTGTTGGAACGTTGAGCCGCGCCCCTGGGCCTCCAACGGCCAGGCGCAAGCAGTTGCGTCCACCATTTGCCCCAACAGCAGAGACCAATTGCCAGACGTACGGAGCATTCCCCAAACATGAACCAACGCACAAGGGGCATCCCCAAAAACTTGAACCAACACCCAAGGGGCATCCCCAAGAGATGTCGGGTTCAAGCTACGCAATGTACTTTTTTAAATTAAAAAAAAAAGAAAAAAGGGCCGCCTTGAGATATCATCATTGAGCTGACCGGACCCAGGCAATTCAGAAATATTTGGTTTTACCCATCCATCAAGTTCCATCATCTGGATTCGAACACGGGTCTGTATTTCAACAGTTCATGGGTGTACCCACAGAGCTAGGCTCTTGGGTCACAATTTACATTTGGCAAAGCCATCAGAAGCGCATTTGAGGCATTTTGCATCATTTTGAAGGAGCAATCAGGAAATATCCCATATCTTTGAGGGGCAAAACGGAAATTTCCCCAAAACTGAGAATAGACATCCGAAAAGTAAGAGAACAAGGCACACACGGCATCCATTGGAGACAGTAGCAGCAGATAATGCAATACCCCGTATCATTGAGGGGCAAAACTGAACTTTTTCCAGAACTCAGGATAGAAATCCGAAAAGTGAAACAAAACAAGTAAAAGAAAAAGGCACACACTGCATCCATTGGAGATAAGACCGTAACAGCATGCAGACAGTACACGCAACGGACAGCGTACTCAGAAGGCCTCCACTTTGGGCCCGCGTATTCTGAACGGCAATGCGCACCGAATAGACGGAGAGCACATAGCACATGCATAGCACATGGAGGTACTTGCAATAGAGCACACACCACGTGCATAGCACATAGAAGTACTTGCACATAGCACATGCATAGCACATAGAAGTACTGCATGGAACACGTAGCACATGCATAGCACATACAAGTACTTGCATAGAGCACATAGCACATGCATAGCACATACAAGTACTTGCATAGAGCACATAGCACATAGCCTATAGCACATAGCACATAGAAGTACTTATATAGCGCACGTCGTACATGGGTAGTACGATCATAGAACCCAGCATATCGATACTATCTAATACACAAGAGTACCCACATAGCACATAGAAGCCAGGATATCGATAATGCATGCCTTGTAGTTTGATAGTACGTAGAGTACTTATAAAAACAACTCACATAGAACGTGGCTTGTATGCTCATAGAACCAGCGCGCATCGACGGCAAGTATACAGAGCAGTTACATCATACATAGAAGTCAGCACGTAAAATAGTCCAATAGATAGATACCAGGAGCACAGTACAACATCGATAGCACATAGTCAGCACGTAAAATAGTCCAATACATAGATACCAGGAGCACAATACAACATCGATAGCACATAGTCAGCACATAAGAGCACATGAATAGCAAAAAGGTCGGTTTTTTCTTTTTCCCGGCGTACATAGGTTGTACATACATTTCGTCAGTCCTTTGGGACATCCGTTCAAATTGGGACGGTACAGAGAAGATGAGCATGGCACCTTCGCATTCACCGATGACACGCATAAATCGAAAACTGTCCATGCATTTCAGCCATCGATTCTGGCAAATGGACAACTTGGTCCAAATGCGATAATTCCTGAGACCAGATGCCAGTTACCATTTCCCATATTCTTCATTCCTGACCGTCAATTACTGAGATCTACGGCCAGAGACGGACGATTCTGGTTGCTCTGTGTGTGTGTGTGTGTGTGTGTGTGTGTGTGTGTGTGTGTGTGTGTGTGTGTGTGTGTTTGTGTGTGTGTGTGTGTGTGTGTACGGTCAGAGACGGACGATTCTGGTTGCTCTGTGTGTGTGTGTGGGTGTGGGTGTGGGTGTGGGTGTGGGTGTGGGTGTGGGTGTGCGAGTGGGTGTGTGTGAGAGAGAGAGAGAGACAGACAGACAGACAGACAGACAGACAGACAGACAGACAGACAGACAGACAGAGAAAGAGAGAGAGTGAGAGTTGATGATGAGGAGTTCCATATTTATCCAAAGAGGAGGGAGGAGGAGGAGGAGGAGGAGGAGGAGGAGGAGGAGGAGGAGAGTGGATGCAGGGAATCGTAACGGGAGAAGACAGCGGGAAATGAGAAAGCATTGCGCATTGCATTATTCCAATTCTTTACCGTTGGCTTCATATGAAAATGCATAGTTGTCATTGATGAATGAATTAAATTCAGATTTCCGATCAGGTACGTGCATTCAATACAACGCACCATGATTACTCATAGAGCGTGACAGCACGGCAGCACCGTCTCCTTTTCTTTTTTCTTTCTCTTTCTCTTTCTCTTTTTTTTTTTGGGTTTTGGTCTTCCCCTCCCCCACCCCCCTCTTTTTCATACAGCATCATAACCCGTCCTCACCCACCGTTATCATCTGTCCCAAGTTGCCGTCCTGCGCTGGGGTGGCCGTGAGCTGAATGGCACTCTTGCTGGATGGATTATCGGTGACGAAGCTAAAAATTCCCTTAGGCCTGGATTCCACCCCCGCCTTCTCGGCATTGCCCTCGCCATCACTGGCTTGCGCCCGAGCTCTAGTTGATTTCCGTTGACGTCTATTGGAAAAGGAGCGGGGCAACAGCCCGTTTCGCGAGGAAGAAGACAGAGAAGGAGTGCGGGAAGAAGAAAGAGGGGAAGAAGAAGGTAGTGGCGATGGCGGGTCTCGCCGCGTTCGGCCCGGTCGTTTAAGAGAATGACACGTGGCTGCAACATGCGGCGAGCTCAGAGCCGAGCCAGATAAACTCATCTCCCGACGAGACACGTGGCGTCCTTTTGCAGAGCTCTCCACGTCTGCATTGCCTATGACCGACGGTGAGCAGCCGGACAGCGGCGTCTGCGCTGGCGCCACGTGTCGAATGGCAGCGCCGGAAGGAGCCGCCATGCCTCCCGCTTTGGCAGGCCGGTTCCCGACGCTGGTGCTGGCGCGTCTGCCTGCCGAAGCTGAGCGCGTCTACCGAGCCCGGCTAGGGCAATTTCCGAACCGGCGGTTTCTGTACACGGACAGAAATCACAGAAATCGCGATACGGACACAAGGCGCTGTGGCACGTAAGGGTAAGAGGTGTAGTCTGTGTACTATCGGCCGAATCGTTGCGCTAGAGCTCGAACCGCTTTTTTTCCCTTTTGAGGTGAGGCGATCGAGCGCCCTCTAGCCACACAGGCCTCACATTGGTTGTGTTGTTTGTGGTTCATTTCCTGCCCCTCCACACAGGCCATCGCTTCACCAGAATCACCACTGACCACATGTGCACAAGACAAAAATTGTGGCCTTTTACCTTTGCATGTTCTGAGAGAAAATCTATATATATATATATATTCCTGCACATTTTTCTCATTTCGCAAATTTGGTGAGCCGGGGAGCGAGGCCCTAAATCGTCAGAGTGCAAACCTACAATCCTGTGGGGACGATATGGTCGTCTCCAAGATTGAGGGATTGCGGTAGTTGATGGCTCCTTTCTATAGAGGAGGGGAGGGGGGCGGGGAAGGCCTGTACCTCCTGGCAACAGGGGGTCCAGCTTCCCTCATCTGTACATGAAAGGCACAACAGACTAGAAAAACAAACAAAAACACTGTGCTGGTTTCTGGACAAGGAAGGGGAGACTGTGGATGTGACACACTTTTAGTTTGAAATATGTGTGTGAGTTTCGAAATGTGCAAGTTTAGCGGGGGTCTAAAGCTGCGCCAGTCATTACCGCGCAGTGGCGCTTGGCAGATTTAGGGGGGGCACCTTTTTTGCTCCATTTCGGGAACTGCTAAAGTTGCCTATTCTGAACGTTGGGTGTGACTCCAACGTACTTGCCCCTGTATGTGAATTGGTGGCCTGTTAGAGCCAGGCTGCATCCCACCATATGGATTGGTGACCTGTTACACTCAAGCTGCATCGCACCAACTCCAAATCTGCAGTGTCATAGGGCAGTCCAGGGGCCAATGTTCCAGCCTCGCCCCTCTACGGATGTATGTTGCCACCTTCTGCGGGAAGAGATGCACTCGTATTTTCTTCTAGGTGGCCTGTTAGAGCCAGGCAGGATGGGTGACCTGTTACACTCGAAGCTGCATCGCACCATCTCCAAATCTGCAGTGTCAGAGTGCCGTCCAGGGGCCAATGTTCCAGACTTGCCCCTCTACGGATGTATGTTGCCACCTTCTGTGGGAAGAGATGCACTCGTATTTCTTCTAGGGGCTTCTAGGGGCAAGTACGTTGGAGTCACACCCAACGTTCAGAATAGGCAACTTTAGCAGTTCCCGAAATGGAGCAAAACTGGCGACCCTAAACAGGTCACCAATCCATATGGTGGGATGCAGCCCAGCTCTAACAGGCCACCAATTCACATACAACATCTGGTTCATTTTGTTAGGATACTCGACCAACTTCCCGCCTCAGTGGGGGGGCATATGAATACAAACCTCTTTTCTTGCAGAGAATCACGATTCTGAGGTCAATCTTGTGCACGAGATGCTCATTCGAACTACCTGTGCCATTTCCGCAGGTGGTAGCTGAAATTACAAAAAACATAGCAGGCCTTGAGAACCCTGAAGAAGGACATATGAAATGTGTCCCAAGCCAGTTCCGTTGGCTAGCTCAGTAGGTTTCATGCCTGAGCGGCACTGCGTAGGTACTGGGTTCTATTCCCGTTGCCATCACTTTCAGTGGACTGAGGAGTGGCCTGAGGAGTGGCCTAAGGAGGATTGCTGGCGACGGCCAGGGCGAGTTGTGCTCCCCTGTAACCCGTAGCAATGCGGGAGCATGGGGCCAAGTGGAAGTGGTGCTGCCCTGTAACCCGTAGCACTGCGGGAGCATGGGGCCAAGTGGAAGTGGCTGCTCAGGTCCAGGTCCTGCTGCAGCCATTCGGGACACTCCCAATTCACATCCAATAAGAATACCTCTCAGGTTCATCATAACTGACATTCATATCACAGGTGATACCCTCAATTTCATGAAACTCTCAACATACCTGTCAAACCATATGTTCAATAAGTCGTGGTCATGACATATAATCTAAAAACTTCCATAATAATCTTGAATTACCTGGGCCCAGGCACCTGTGGATATATCTTAAACCACCAGTACTTGGCCCAGCTATCAATGCCGAGCCTGGAATGCCCCTGCGCGCCAATTTTTGCCTATCATTTTGATTTTTTTTTGGCTGGCGCTTCCAGCTATTCTGGTCCGGTAACCCGAAGCCCTTAAGGCATGGCGCGTTAACGGGAAAGCGCCGCGGCTTATAGCCGGGCCAAGTACAGGTGGATTATCTGGAAAAACTGGAGACGGAGACATTCAGTGGAATTGCGACCCTCCCATAACCTTCCCCTTGCATGTTTCTGGCAACATCCCGCAGGCCCTTATTCCCCTGTGATTCACAACCTGACGTCGGGGACGACTTTCTGATCAGAATGTGACTAGGCCCAGAATGGTCACAGAATAGGGGTGTGTCACCTCTTCTTTCTTTAAGTCCTTGTTTAGCCCACTCCATGTGCTTTCCCACCCGCTTCTCCCTTCTCCCCCTGATTGGCTGGCGGGACGCATGCCGAATCGATGCGTGGAGTGAGGCGAAGCCCCGACGCCTTGGTCTGATCATGCAACTCGCCAGGCACTCGCTCCTGTTCTGCATTCCTTCCCCTCCTTTCCTGCATCCATGCCATCACCTGAGAGACTGTAAATCTTGCAAGCGCCAATTTCTCTCTCTCTATTCTCATGAAAGTTAGCGCCATCGTTGGGCTCACTGGCTGTGCAAGGTGGCTGCCAAATTGATCAGTCCCGACTGGCGGTGTTGCATACTGTAACGGTGCAGACCAGAACAAGAACCGACCTCTCAATACAAAGTACAAGATAGCGTAGTGGAAGACTTAGATACCAATGATCCGAACAATCAATATTGCAATGCAGCCCTGAACATACATCATCATCATCATCGTTCATGGTGTGAAAGGGGTCTGGCGCTTCACACAGGAAGACTGCGCCAGCCCCAACCATACACAGACGAAGAAGAAGGGGGTTAGACGAAGAGGAGGGGAAGATGGGAATGTCGTCAACACCAAGTCTTCGGCACAGGCCCAAATAGTCCCTCGTCAAAATGTCTGAATCCCAAATGTCGAGTCTGGATCCAATGTTGTCAAGTCTCAAGTCACAACTCTCTCTCTCTCTGTCGTAGTCTGCTGATCCTGAGAAGTCAGGCGGTGAGAGGGTGAGAAGAGATGGTGGACTTAGAAAAGGAAGAAGAATAACTCTCTCTCTCTCTCTCTGTGTCCAGTACTAACCTGTGAAGTTGGCGCCTTGATGCAGGTACCTCGAAGATGGAGCTGGAGCTATGGCGCCACAGGTAAGTACCGCTGGCCTCCGCCAGCCATCTCTCTCCAACGCTACCACTACCAGCTACTAACGCCCTGCGCTGAAAACTACTACTACATCTATGAGCGCCTAGCGCTGAAGACTACTGCTAGCGCTAACTACTACTCTCAGCGCTCCTCCTGAGTGCTGCGGCTGAATCCTGAAGACTACTCGTGCCTACTGTCCAACTACCTACCCGTGAAGTGCATGGGAACTTCCTATGTACTACTCGGGTACCTCCTGGCTACAGGGCGAGGCAGTCCAGGAGGCTGTTCTTGCCAATGCCGAAGGCAGTCAAGGGTTGCCACTGCAGCTCCTGCTTGAGGCTGTCGTGGGAAACAGGCTAAAGATAGCCTGTTTCCGAAACCCTTGTTTTGTGCCTGAGTGTTAGGGTAGCTCGATCTTATGAGGGCCCGAAAGTGGCCCTCCGTTTCAGGCTGAAAAGCCTCAGGGTTGAAAAGCGCTGTTATAGGCTGAAAACGAAATAGGGTATGCAGGCCCTCGTTTTCAGTTTCAGGCTGAAACGACATGGGGCCTGTAAGCCCTATTTTCTAGGTTTTTAGGCTGAGAATGCGGGACGGGCCCTGCAGGCCCGTGTGGCTACGCAGTATGTCACAGGCGGACACTGATCATGCGGGGTTAACGAGCAAGCTGCGACAGATTGCAGGAGCTCGGGCAAATGTAGCTTGCCAATCGGTTCAAGAAGGGCAACAATCACATATATATGAGCAAGTGTCGATTTGGGACAACATACTGTCCACATAGAACGTGGTGATATCGGTGCTCGATGAGCGAGCAAATTTTCTTTGGTGGAAGAGAGAGAGGGGTAACATGCTTCCCATCTTGTTTTCCTGCTATCTTGGTGTAGAAGTTTCATGCATGGCAAATGGATTGTCGATGCATGCTGAAAAGATGTCGTGACACGCTGTGACACCCAACCTCACGCCCGACGCGACTTCCTGATCGGAGTGGGATGGGGACCCAGAAGTGCGAAAAGGGGGTGTGCCAAGGATTTTAGGAAAGTGGGGATGGAGTCCCAGGTCGGAACTGAGATCTCTGGTGGCAAGTTTAGGGGCAATGGTACACGATGGTACGTGCAGATCATATCTGGGACTATCGTCTCTGCCAGTTGCGTCGCCGCGGTCGGTTCCTTATCTGGTGGACCGGTGGGTCACTATGGTTGTCGCGCTGTTCGAACAGTTGTCGGCATCGCTCGGCTTCGGTTCGGGTTCGTTGGATAAATCCCGAAGTCCGATACGCCTGGCGCTGCTGGCACTTTTCGCACGGTGTGCGGAGCCAATAGCAGGCTATGGAATTCCACGGTACCCACTGTGAGCTGGTGATATGGAAGGAGAAGATGGAAGGGAGGGAAACTGGTATTAATAATGATGAAGCCCAGAGATATGTAATATTGGGTGTTGTTAGTATCCGGATAGTCTGGGCCCCTAAGATCGTTAGTTATGGCCCAGTGAAAGTCCCTCGCGCACAGTCGATCGTTCTCCGTCAGACAGGGGAATTCTGGGTTTCTCAAGCTTCCCCGCCGTCTGAGATGTTCACCCTCCCAGTATTCGCGATACTCAGGGTCCCTCAAGCTCTCACGGTTGGTGATCCAAA